ACGCCGCTCATCGTCCCCGCCGCGCCCGTGCCCGTCTCGGCGTACTTTGCGGGTGCCGCGTCGGGCTCGGCTGCCGGCGCGTCCACCGCGGCCTCGAGCACGGGCCTCTCCTCGTCCCCGTCCCCCTGGGGCTCCAGCTCCGGCTCCCCCTGGGCTACAAGCACGCCCCCGCCCTGGGGCCCCGCGGGCCTCGCGCCGTCCTCCGTGCGCGCGCCGCGCACGCGCGCCCCCTCGTCCCCCGCGACCGCGGCGGGCACGCTCCCCGCGCGCCGCGCGCCCGCGCTCCACCGCTTCAGCATGACGTTCAACCCGTCGTCGCCCACGGAGCTGGGGCGCCTCAGCCCGAGCGTCGTCGTGCGGCAGCCGCCGCTCGCGATCCCCGTGCTAAGGCTGCCCGTGCCCGCGCCGCAGGCGCAGAGCGAGGCGAACTCGGTGGGAAGGCGGTCGAGCGTGATTTTCGGGCCGGGGCATGGGCGGGAGGCGAGTCAGGCGGTGGTAAGGAGTATGCCGGCGCTGGGGCGGGAGGGGACGGCGGGGGCGGAGCCGGCGGCGGGGGAGTCGGATGACGAGGGGGAGGATGACCACGAGGATGAGGATGGGGATGGGGGCATCGAGGAGGAGCACGAGGAGGAGGAGCACGAGGAGGACCGGCCGTCGGTCGATGCGGGGGAGTCGCCGTTCGTGCCGCTGCCGCTGCGGCTCGACATGTCGCCGCTTGCGCTCGAGTTGGACTTTGGGGCGATGTTTCCGGGTGGCGGGCGGACAAGGGGAAGGGCAAGGGCAAGGGGCGGGAACGCGATGTGGTGCCGGCGCCCGCGTCGCCGTTTGCGGTGCGCGCGCAGGCGTCGCAGGGGAGCGTGATGAGCAGCAGCACCGTGACGCGGACGCCGACACAGGGCGCGGGGTGGCACGCGACTACTTTGCGGTGCGCACCCCGACGGCGGACGGGCGCACGCCGTTGCGGCGGTACCGCCGCTCGCGCGCGTGGTGCCGCTGCCGATGCCGAAGACGCCGCTCGAGCGCCCGGGCTGTATAAGCACGCGTCGCGGAGCATGGTGCATATCCTCGGCGGCGGGGCGGGCGGCGAGGAGGAGGACGAGCGGGGCGCGACGCCGGCGTATGAGGGGCAGGGCGTCACGCTAGGGCGCGGGGGCACGCTGAAGCGGCGGCGCTCAATGCCGGAGATCATGGCGGCACCCCCGCCGTACACGCTCCCGCCCTTCCCGATCCCGCCGCTCGTCAACGCGCACCCGCTCGCGCAGGCGCGCATCGTGCCGCGCGACGACGAGGGGCGCGAGGTGCTACCGGCGTACAGCAACGCGATTCTGATGCGCGGCGTGATGCCGCGGAAGATGGAGTTCAGCGCGCCGGGGGTGCAGGCGAAAGACCGGAAGTGGCGGCGCGTGGTGTGCGAGCTGGAGGGGACGGTGTTTCGGATATATCGGGTGGCGGGCGAGGGGTGGTGGGAGCGGCACGTGGGCGCGGCGGATGGGGCGGCGGCCGGGGTGGCGGTGGCAAGTGCTGCTGCTGCGGCGGCGGCGGCGATCAAGGCGCGCGCAGCGTCGAGGGACGGGGCGGCGCGGGAGGGGAAGATTGCGGACGAAGAGAGGGTGATGTCGGGTGAGGGCGGCGAGGGCTCCACGGAGGTGGTCGTGCCGCCGCGTTCGAGCATGTCGTCGGCGCGCAGCCGCGCGTCGTCGTCTGCGGCGTCTGTGCAGGCTCCGGCGTCGCCGTCCCCCACGTCGTCCCCGCAGGACGGCCCCGCCCCGCAGCCGCCCGCGAGCCGCTCACGGCTCAACCTCGGGCTCAGCCTGCTCAAGCCTCGCGCGCATGGGCGCTCCAAGAGTGATCTGACGGACGCTCCACCGAGGACACCCACGACGTCGCGGTCGTCGCTCTCAATCCCGCGGCCGTCGTTTAGCGGCAGCTCGCGCGCCAGTGGGAGCGGGAGTCCCCGGAGTAGCATGTCCCCGCTGGCGCCGTCGCGCTCGAACGCGAGTCTCGTGTCGTCGCGGTCCGGGCTGCTCAGCGCGCGCACGTCCGCGGCGCCGGCAACGCCGCAGAGCAAGCACAGGAGCAGCGCGCCGGCGGGGACGGACGTACCGGAGCCCGAGCCCGAGGACCTCATCCGTGCGTATACGCTGCAGCACGCGGAGAGCGGGCTCGGGAACGACTACCTCAAGCGCAAGCACGTTATTCGGGTGCGGCTCGAGGGCGAGCAGTTCCTCCTGCAGGCGCGCGACGTGGGCGATGTCGTGGATTGGATCGAGGTGCGTGGCTTGCTTCGGCGCCGGGCGAAGGCTAATACACGTGTAGGGCCTGCATAGCGCGACGGATATTGCGCTGGATTTGGACGAGCGGGTGATGCCCAAGGGCCCGCTGTTCCCCAGGTGGGTGGCTCGGCTCCTCTGCTCGTACTTATCTGACTGTTCGGCGTCTGTACAGGAGGAGGAGACGCCGCCCGCGGGCGACTGGGGCTCCGGCCGTTGCCGCTGATACTAATGTTCCCGCCGTGTCTCCGACGATCAGCTGATTTCGCCCGACCTTTTCTTTTTTCTCTGTTGCATGCACATTATCACCACACATTCACGAACACCATTCACGAATTGTTGTAGACCAGTAGTAGTATTTAAATTAATTAATCTCGGCGCCATCAATTCTCCACAGAATTTCCCACGGGCTTTGTTTGGGCGACAGCCCCATGCGCAGGCCTCAAGCCTGTTATCTTCTCGAGTCATCTTGTTAGTTATCCGCACACCCACAGCATACCCCGGAGTTCCTGCGTCGCATCCCTCTTTTTCCTTTACGCTCTCCGACGACCCTTGCGCCCCCCCCTGCACGCCGGCCTCCGCTCCGATACCCCTCCCGCACCCAGCTATTATACAGCTCGATTAATCGCCCATGGCAGACTCTGCGATAGACATTGACCTCGACTCGGTCATTGACAAGCTTCTCGAAGGTGCGCAGCGCCCCTGGACTGCACCCGCAGCGCCCAGCTGATACGCCGTAGTGCGGGGCAACCGCCCCGGCAAGCCAGTGCAGCTGCAGGAGTACGAAATCAAGTACCTGTGCACCAAGGCGCGCGAGATCTTCATCAACCAGCCCATCCTGCTCGAGCTCGAGGCGCCGATCAAGATATGTGGTGCGTCGTGTGCCCGCGGGGCGAGACGAGATGACGGACGGCGGCTGCGCAGGGGACATCCACGGGCAGTACTACGACCTGCTGCGGCTGTTCGAGTACGGCGGCTTCCCGCCCGAGGCCAACTACCTCTTCCTCGGCGACTACGTCGACCGCGGAAAGCAGTCGCTTGAGACCATCTGCCTGCTCCTCGCGTACAAGATCAAGTACCCCGAAAACTTTTTCATCCTCCGCGGGAACCACGAGTGCGCGTGCATCAACCGGATATACGGGTTCTACGATGAATGTGCGTGCCCCGTCCTGCTTTGCTGGCTTTTTTTTTTTTGGTTTGCTGACGGGGCGGACGGCAGGCAAGCGGCGGTACAATATCAAGCTGTGGAAGACGTTCACGGACTGCTTCAACTGCCTGCCCATCGCGGCGATTATCGACGAGAAAATATTCACGATGCACGGCGGGCTGAGTCCGGATCTGCAGTCGATGGAGCAGATACGGCGTGTGATGCGGCCGACGGACGTGCCTGACACGGGTGAGTGCCTGTTTTTGGGCCCGCTGCCGTTGCTGAGCGCTGTGCAGGGCTGCTCTCGGACCTGTTGTGGTCCGATCCCGACAAAGACATCACCGGCTGGTCAGAGAACGACCGCGGAGTGTCGTTCACCTTTGGTCCCGACGTCGTGGCGCGGTTCCTCCAAAAACACGACATGGACCTCATATGCAGAGGGCACCAGGTGCGTTTTCCGTGCCCATGCCTCACCGGCGCTGACGCCCCGCAGGTCGTCGAGGACGGGTACGAGTTCTTCGCAAAACGACACCTGGTAACGTTGTTCTCCGCGCCGAACTACTGCGGCGAATTCGACAACGCGGGCGCGATGATGAGCGTGGACGAGTCGCTGCTGTGTTCGTTCCAGGTGCGTCGCGTCCCCCTTCCCGCCTCGCCTCGCCCTGAAACCCGCCCGCAGATCCTAAAGCCCGCAGAGAAAAAGGCCAAGTATCCCTACGCCGGGAACAACGGCGTCACGACGCCGCGCAGGCAGAAGAAGCGCGCGGCCTAATACCTCCCATTTCAAAGCGCCGGTCTCCCGTTTAAGAGAGCCGGTGTGTAGATCCGTCGATGTCGGTGGCGGTGTGCCCGAACATTTCCTGTACGATATATTACTGCTGCTTCATTGTCCTGTTTTTATTCGGTTTTTTTATTGGAGGACATGCGGGCGACGTAGACGGGCGGATCTGGTAGCCAGAGCGCATGTTGTATTACCGTATAATGCCATCTAAAACTGGCGAGCCCCATGTCCCAAAATGGCCACTCGTCCGATTATGTGAGATATGAACCAAATGGGGTAATTGCGATCATTTTTTCTATCTCATTCGCCCACGACCGCCTCGCGTCTGCATCGCTTTGCACTGCAGTGGGCAGCCAGTGCACTGTAGCTACGGATTGGGGTACCCAGGAGCGACGCAAAAAGATGACAAGTGCGGTGAAGCATCGGATAATCGATAATCAACGGCCGCAGAAGCAAAAGTGATTCGACCCGGGCTCGAACCGAGGACCGCCTGTGGAACTAGCAAGGATAAATCCGAGCGCTGTTAGACAGAAGTGATAACCAGCTACACCATCGAACCGATGAGAGACGTTGAGAAAGCCAAAATATGTGTCGAAATCTTCGAAATTGCGGATTGTAGACTTGGAGGCTTCCACCGCAATGTCTCGACCCGAAATCTTTTCTTCTGCTTCAATAAGAAAAGTTTCGTTGTGCGACTATAGTGAGCACTTTCTTGACGAGATACTGCCTGTGGCCGGGACAAACGAAATCAAAACGAAATCCTTGAGTCTGAGCAGGCCTGAGCTGAAACTTGGCTGCAATTCTCTTTGGACCGTCAACTTGCTGTCTTCCGGTTTTTCGTGCTATGATTGAACTTCAACCTTTTCAATCGTGGCCCTTTCCGGATATCTCATTCAATTTGTGGGAAACACGGCCTACTCACGCTACTACCCGATTGGGAAGGTCCCGTTTCTTCCGGCCAACTCTCGGCAGTTGGACGCCCGAGCGTGTGGCGACCCATTGTCCTCCGTCACCGGTGTATAGGTCGGTGGCAAGTATTTTGGAAGAGTAAAGTGTTCTTGAGAAATGAGAGGAATTTAATTGAAGTCATTACGAACATATGGAAAATAATTTTACAATTATGATCATAACCACATCGACTATCGGGCATTAAATCCCGCTGCAAAGTGGCGAAGGACAACATGCCAAAGAAACAACATCCTCTTCATACTCGCAGCGGTTTTTGCAGATTTCCCAGAGCTACGGCTCCACTGCAGAGACCAGCGGTTATTGAGACGCTCGCGGGCATCAATGTCGAGCCCTTGCTGAACCATAATTGTGGGGGCAGATAGCTGATCGTCATCGCCCACGCCGTACTGGTAGTCGACGGGCGAAACACTGTCGTCAATGGTGGTGGCATGCCGCTGGTGTATTTCTTTCAACTGTTTTAGTTGAAGGGGTGAAACCTTCAACTGATCTAAAGGAATCTCCGAAGCAATGCTGCACTGCTTCAGGGGTGCGTTCTTGGATTTAGAAGCTGTCCTCGTGTATATTTCGACCATTTGAGATTTCCTTTATAGGTGGTGGCATCGGAAGGGTGTAGGGAAGAGGCTGGCACCTCGGTAGGCACAAATATGAAACTCATAGAGGCTAAGGCAGAAAAATGAATAAGAGAGGCTCGTAGGAGTAGTAGTAGGAAGAGGCGCGGTTTTACGCGTCTAAAATACGTCCATTCTAGGTGCACAATGGTAGAATACGATGGCCACCCCGAGACGCGAACTTAGCCGAGTGATCGCGCCGCTTGATGGCCGTGATTCACGTGATGTCCCAATCGGGTACTGGCGTGAGTGGGCTTACATTCTCAATTTGTGGGCTAGGAGATTTCTTGTCAATAATTACCTGAACCGTAAGATGAGTCATGACGTCCAGCCCAACCTAACAGTTGATCGCCTTCTAAGTCGGGGACATCACGGGGAGGACCGATCGTGATCGCTTCGACTATCCTCGTTGTCTTGTTCATTCGCGGTCATTCAACCCACAAAGCCGATCAAGGATTACTGTCCTTCATCGCCAAACGGGGCATATCTAGAAGCGGGACAAATCTCATTTTCTCTGTCAATTGCCGAGATCTTGTGTAATATACACTCTGTAGGGTCCCTACTACTCTCCTGGTTGCAATGCTAGTCGCTCGATCGACAAAAGGGCTCGGTAACGGTGTTTGTGGGCGCTGAATAATAATTAATAAATAACTAAAAAAGGAAAGAAGAAAAAGAGAAAGAGAGAAGAGAAGGAGAGAGTTCAACCCTTCAAGTAAGCACATTGCATTCCTAGCTCCACTTACCATGCCCCGGAGCCGGAGGATGTTTGTTTTTTCGGTGCTGCGCAGCTTGTTTCTGCCACCATGTAAGACAAAACCTATGTATTTAGGCTGTTGCCGCAACTTCAAAACCATTGGAAGCCATGCAAAGCCATGTTATTTTACTAGCACTGCACCTGAACCGAAGACTAACTTAACCCATGTCCTATCCGTGTTTTCAGCGTAATATTAATAAAATAAGGTAGTTTGAACATGGTCCCTGGCCTTCAACAAGGCCAAAAATATTATAAAATCGCGGAAGCTCAACATTGACATCATATTTTAGGACAAACCGGGTCGCCAAAGGTGGTTCAAATGCTGGTCAGCTTGTGGGCACCTGTTCAATGCTGCTCAACCATAATCAAACCAGAAACCACAAAACACCATCAGCTGGTCTCCATAACCTCAGAATATTAGCTGAGAGTGTTCCGTCCCACATCCAACCCTAAATTCAGCTCAGCTTGTACCTGTTGATTTTCTGGATAAAAATCTTCGTAGTTTGGAAATGACATCAATGTGCCACCAGTTAGTGATGAAAAAATCTGGTATTGTGTGAGGAAAATCTAGGTGAAAATACAAAGCTTTGGATACTTGCATCATGTTGCAAGGTATGGTATTCGTCGAGAACGAAGCCAGTTGAACCAGATGGTCCATGCGCACATCAATCACGCACGCGAGATCGGTACCCGGATCGAGCCGAACGGTGGACCGAATCCGGTTGAGCCCTTTAAGGAGATTTTGATCCCACAAACACCGTCAGCGAGCCGACAAAAGTCCCATAATTAGCTCCAAAGAAACTGCCGGATTTGGTCATTTATGTGATTTCAGGCAGTTGAAACACAACTGGAGACCTGATATGGGCCGGTATGGTAACAGAGTGTATCCATATCATACTTCAAGTATTCATACCAAAATCTGTGGGTAGAGATGCATTTTTCGCATCACAACAGCTTAATCGAAACACTCAAACACAGCGGACAAATATGAACTCTACCAAAAAACACTCAAAACCCTCTTACATATGGGCCTTTCTATTCCAGAGTGCAATTAGGTCCAAATGCCTGGATACTTTAGTATCTGGGTTCTACAGTACCCACACTACTGCCTTAACAAGTAATTTTAGCCTTATATGGAAAGTAGTCTCACTCGCGGTGAAAAAGAGACACAGCCACTGCACTGCCTCGAAAACGTGCGCTGTCTCTTCTCCGTTCTTACCCATATTGGCCGTTTTCACCCGAATATTTCATTTTCGGCCGTCGACCGATGAGGGACTAGTCTCACTCGCGGTGAAAATTCACAGCCACTGCACTGCCTTCTTCTCCGTTCTTGCCCCTGTTGGCCGTTTTCACCCGAATATTACAATCAAGAGTCCTTTTCGGCTATTGACCCCTCTTCTGCAGTGCAGGGATATGGCATACATACTGTCTGAAAAAGAAAAAAAAAATGTCACAGCTGTTTCCATTTTTTGCGACAATGAATCTCGGTTTTGGGACAAAAAGATGTGATGAGAATCACAGAATCTAACCTGTAGATGATTGTCTTCCCAAGAAAACAGCAATGAGCAGGACTCGACCAAAAATATGCAATGGCCTGGCTGCTATCGTCGGCTCATGGTTGATCTTTGTCAATGCTCTGACCCATATCCCTTCAAGTGGACCGATCTGGAGAAGGACCAGTTTGTGGGCTGCTTGCTACCGGGTTGCAAATAATCTGGTACAAATCCTACAACTAGTGCACTCTCTTCCTTGGGGCACGAGAAGTACATATGTGACAACCATTTGGAGCTCAAAATATTCATAGCAATTTCCGGTGGATATAGACTTGCAGCTAGAGCCTCAGACCACATGCACAATTATGGAATGTTCAGCCTTATGGGAAGCCACTCAGTTGGAGGACCAACTCAACCAAGGGTGCATTGCTTCTTTTGCCGTCTTCAAAAGAGACAAAGTGTTTTTTCTTGGAAGTATTTGCATGGTGTTTTTTCGGGTCCGAAATACATCATGTTTTTTTCTTAGAACATTCTTCACATAGTATTTTTTTGTCGCATTGCATGCTTGATTTTTCGGACAGTATATCACCCATACAGGGACAAGATATGGATGGGTTCATGCAACACCAATAATTTTATCATACACAAATACAAGTCTAGGGAGATGGGAGAGCAAAAAAAGTAGTGGGCTCTGTGTCCTGCCTGCTGTCTCCGGATGATGAACATCTCAAAAGAGACCCCTGTCTCACGCATGGGTTTCGGTTCATTCTTGCTATCTGTGTGTTTATTAGTTCGGTCGTTGTGTGTTTGTAGTGGACTTGACTTCACCATCCAGTGTCTGGGATGTACCAGATGTTGGGGGTGATGCAAACATATGTGTTCTGTGTTGGGTGGAGTGAGGGATATATGAATCTAGTGCCCGGGTCAGTCTGTGTAGGCTGAAGGGATGTGTACAAGATGTTTTGCTGTATTATTGATATGGATGTAAGCAGCCAGGCGGGCCAGTTTTTGGAACCAGAATGGACAGTGGTGGGGTGTGCTCCCTGTGGTGATCATTGGGGAGCTCGTTCGCCATCTTAGATGCCAAGCGGGACTTGCCGTTTACCGGCTTTCGACTGGCTCTAGTGTGGATTTCGAGGCCTGTTCCATTTGGCGTGCCCTCCTTTAGGTCCACTCCAGGTTGCCCACAACAATGGCATGAAATCAATTGCCACCTGCGGAGGCTTCTATCTTCGACATGTTTTCATGACAGCCGGACCACAACCTCATTTTGCAGTGTCGAAACGAGCTCTGCTTAATCACATTCCAGCTCACTTGGGAATGGCTGCAGGAGTCAGGATGGGGCTTTTTCGAACTCCTTATTCCTCCCCCACATTTACGTCGTTTCGATTGGACACCATCAACACCCATGATTCTCATATGGATTGATATCTGTTACGGGACACGGTGGATCGGTGACATATTTATTGCATGGGAACAGTGGGTTGGTGTCATATTTGTCTGAGCTTGAGGTCTTTGAACCAAAATCATTGGATATAGACAAAGGGCAGAGTAGAATAGCATTTATGGCATGGACACCTGGAAGGTCGCTGGTCGAGGCGATTATTCTAGGGCTTGTATGAAATGTGGTTGTCTTTGAGTCGGAATCATCCTCGTGAGGCCAAGCATTAGATGCTCGGGACATTGGGTATCCAGGCACCGCCTGGAAAGGCCATTACCTCAGTATGGAACATTT